CAGAACACTTCATTGTGCTCATGAGGAACCTGCACATAAACCAAGAAGCAGTCATTAGAACAAAACAAGGGGACACTGAGTGGTTTAAAATCCAGCCAGAAAGGTGTGTGCCAGGTTGTATTCTTTTACCGTACTTGTTCAATCTGTATGCTGAGCAAATAATCCGAGAAGTTGAATTATATGAGTTTCAAGAAAAAGAACTTCTTGGAAGCATCAGGATTGGAGGAAGACTCATTAGCAACCTGTAATATGTAGATGACACAACCTTGCTTGCTGAAAGTGAAGAGGACTTAAAATATTGACTGATGAAGATCAGAGGCCACAGCCTTCAGTATGGGTTTCATCTCAATGTAAAGAAAACAAAAATCCTCACCACTGGACCAATAAATAACATCATGTTGTTATTGTTGTTAAGTGCCGTTGAGTCAGTTCTGACTCATAGTAACCCTTGTATAGAGTTTCCAAGGAGTAGCTGGTGGGCTTGAACCCCTGATCTTGTAATTTGTAGTCCAATGCTTATCCTACAGCGCCACACCAGGAGTCCTTGATAAATGGAGAAAAGATTGAAGTTGTCAAAGAGTTCATTTTGCTTGGATCCTCTATCAACACTCATGGAGCAGCAATCAAGAAATCAAATGACGTAGTGCATTTGGCAAATCTACTGCAAAGCACCTCTTTAAAGTGTTCAAGAGCAAAGAATGTCAGTCTGAAGACTATGATATGCCTGACCCAAGCCATGCTATTTTCACAGCTTGATGTGCATTTGAAAGTTGGACAGTGAATAAGGAAGACTGTAGAAGAGTTGATGTATTTGAATTCTGGTGTTGGAGAAGAATCTTAAAAGTACCACAGACTGCTAGAAGAACAGACAAATCTGTGTTGGAAGAAGTACAACCAGAATGTTCCTTAGAAGCCAGGATGGCCAGACTTCATCTCTCATACTTTGGACATATTATCAGGAGGGACCAGTTCCTAGAGATGGACCTCATGCTTGGTAAAGTGGGGGAAGACCCCAGCAAGATGGATTGGCACAGTGGCAGCAGCAATGGGCTCAAGCTCAACAATGATTGGAAGGATGGCACATGACCAGGCAGTGTTTCACTCTGTTGTTCATAAGGTCTCTATGAATCAGAACCAATTCAATGACACCTAACAACAACTTAGGAAATCACACACATATATATGTTCATGCATCATTCATAATGTCTACGTAAAATTTCAGAAAAGTTTTATCATCGGTGAGAGGTGCACTGTCATGGTGGATAAGCGCCAACTAGGGCAGATTTTTTTTTTTTTTTTTACTGCCTTCCTCATCACTCAAATTAACATGGGTCTAGACTACCCAATAAATAACTCTCCCTTTCCTTCCACTCCTGGTAACTATCATAGAAAGTTTATTATACAATGAAAACCATCTCTTGAGTTTTTACAATAGTGGTCTTATACAATATCTGTCCCTTTGCAATCAATTAATCTCACTCAGCTTAATGTCCTCCAGATTCTTCCATGTTATGTGTAGTGTTTTGCAGATTTATTGTCAATGTTGCATGGTAGTCTACTGTGTGTATGTACCAAAGTTTGTTCAATCGTTACACTGCTGATGGGCATCTAGGTTGTCTTTTTGCTATTGTGAATAACATTGCAATGAACATGGGCATGCATAAATCTATTTGTGTTATGACTATTTTTCTCTGTACTTGGTACAAGTACAGAGATTGCTGGGTCATATGGTATTTCTATTCCCAACCTTCTGAGAAAGTGCCGTACCGTTTTCCACGGTGGTTGTACTATATTACGGTCCCAGCGACAGTGTATTGTTGATGGTGCTAAGTGCCATCGAGTTGGTTCTGACTCATGTCGTACCTTTTTTTTTTCACTGATGATCTTCATAGTTCTAGCTTTTACATTTAGGTCTTCAACCCATATT